TTTTGTTCATAAGAGTTTAATTCCTATTGTCGAAAGGAAGGAATCAATCGACGTCACACAATTGTACATACCCATTAATAAAATGGTGTAATAGAAAGTATGAATACCACCATAATGGAGAAAGTTTGTTGTATGGTTTTATAATTCTGAATTGCCACAATCCTTTAAGTCCTTTAGGTGAAGGCTGCTTTAGTTGCTTGTTATCTTATCAACTGATAATCATCACAGGTAAATGAGAAGAACACACTGTTTGAGTTATGGTCTAAGAAGCATGAAAATTACATAGAGTTGAGCCTTTCGGTGTCCATACCAAGCATATGTTTACAATGGGAAGATAGAATAAATGGAAATTAAATGTGTTTTTCTTTGGTACAATCCAAGAGTAAAATGATACAAGTTATGGAGTTTTGACTTGAAATTAAATACGTTTTTGGGATTGGTTGCTTCTAACGACTAGGAATTAGAGAAACTTGATGTTACTACAACTTTCTTAAATTGTGAGCTTGGGAAAGAGATTTTTACGAAGAAACTCGAAGGGCTTGTTGTTCCTAGTAAAGAGGGTTATGTTTGTATATTGAATAAATCTCTTTACAACTTCAAGCAATCCCCCACAATCGTATAATAAATTTGACACAATTTATGACCAAAAGGTGCATCTATGATAAATGTGTTACTACAAAATTATGATGATGCTTGATCTACTTCCTCATATACGTGGATGACATGTTGGTCACAACAAAAGATATGAAAGAGATCCAAAAACTAAACGACCATCCAAAAGAAAATTTTGAAATGAAGAACTTAGGACCTGTTAAATTGATTTAACGTATGCAAATTGTCTGTTATATGAGCTTTAGAGTGTTATAACTTCCTCATAAAAGTTATATTGAGATTAGGGGTGCAAACGAGCCGAGCCGAGCCCGAGCCTGGCCAGGCTCGGCTCGTGCTCATTTAAGTTATACGAGGCTCGAGCTCATAAAAAATTATACAAGCTCGACTAAGGCTCGAGCTCGGCTCGTTATTTGTCTAACGTGCCTAATAAGCTTAAGCTCGATTCGAGCTCGTTAAGAAGCTCCTTTACTAATACCCTAAATCCCTAATTCCCAAAATATTTTTTATTTTAATATATAATAATAATAAATTATATTATATATAGGCTCGTTTAAGCTCACAAGCCTAATCGAGCTTAGTGACATTGGCTCGAGCTCGAGCTCACATTATAAACGAGCTAAATATTAAGCTTGAGCTCGTTTAAAATCGATTTTGAGTCGAGCTTTTGACGAGCCGATCCTGAGTAGCTCACGAGTAGTTTGACTCATTTACACCCTAATTAAGATACATCTGTGATGCATCATTATTCATTAAGCAAAACCTGTCAACACACCTTTTTTTATGCTATGATTTGCACATGTATTGACCTGTCTTATGCGGTTAGCATGGTTAGTAGATATATGTTGAACCTTGAGAAAGAACATTGGAGTGCACTGTAGTGGATTATTTTATGGTACGTCTTTTATGTGTCTAGACTTTGGTAAGTCGAATAAGGGGGTGCTTGGATATGTTTATTCAGATCATTGTATAGACTTAAATAAACGAATATCAATTATAGGATATGTGTTTACTTTGAGCATTTGTGTCATTAGTTGGAAAGCTCAGTTGCAGTCTAGAGTTGGATTCTCCTATTTAGAGGCAAAATATATCGCGATTACTAAATTCGTTAAGGAAGATATTTGGTTGAAGGAATTATACGGAGAACTCAATGACGGAATAAGGGTTATCATCGTATTCTATGACAAATAGAGTGCTATTTTCTTAAGTGAAAATCAAATGTTTCATGATCGCAGAAAGCACATCGACATTCGCTATCATTTTGTGTGGGATATCATTGCAAAAGGTGATTAGTTGTGAACAAGATTAATACAAATTATAATCTTACCGACATGTTCAATAAAAGTCTTTCAATAGCGAAGTTCAAACTATGTTTGGACTTCGTGGATGTTTTAGACTACAATTAAGCCTTATAGGCTCATGGTGGATGGTGTATTTTATTTTTTCGGAATTAATTTTCTCTATATGGTGATTACAGGTACTCATGAAGCTTTGAATTTTGATTAACCATTATGTTACTTGTTGCATTTTAATCAAAGTTAATGTGGAGTGTCGAATTATGCTTACTCTAAAATGTCAAGTCTCAATAGATCAGGGGTTGATGTTGTTAATTGGAAAACTAGTACTCCCTCCGTCCCATATTAATAGTCCATGTTTCCTTTTTGGTTTGTCCCAAAATAATTGCCTACTTCTAAAAATAAATATGTATTTTACCATAATACCCCTCATTGTTAGTTAAATTACCATAAAATTAAATGCAACTACCATAGAATTAAATGCAACAGAAGGGTAAGTCTGTCATTTTATCTAATAAAGTTAATGGTAATTAATGTTTTTTCTTAAACTGTGTGTTTTTTGTCTGTGGACTATTATTTTGGGACGGAGGGAGTATAAATTTAGCTTTTTTTTTTAATTAGACGTGATGATCAATTAGAAGTATCCTATGTTTTATTTTCTTTTAGTTTACACAGCAGACGCCATGAATAGTAAACAAGGTTCTAAACCTAATCACCAAATAACATTTCATTTTGGGTTCATTGTAATCTCTTTTCTCAAGATTTGTAACCACGTATATTCATTCTCAGCTTCATCCGCCTATGATAATTTTTTTTTTCCAATATTGAGTTTCTATGTAAAGTGTTGTTTGTTTTTTCGAAACAAAAATTCATAAAGTCTTCGGTCCACATCTGCAACCCTCTACAGCATAAAAGGTGGACCAAACGATTGTAACATTTAATAAAAAGCTTGTTTGTTTCTTAACGTCTGCAAGCTGCTGCAATAATCTGAAATTTAAATAAACTGATTTTTAAAACTTAAAATAGTTTTTTAATTATGAAATTTAAATAATTTTAGCCTTACAACATTGAAATAAAATTCATACAACTTAAATGAAATGATTTTACATCTTTTGTTGTGCATCTATACCGATGACCAAATTAACATGACAAAAGTAAAATAATTTTTTTTGTTTATAGAATGCATGCTTATTAAAGGACAAACACAATAAAAATAATATATAATAAACAATTTACTCAATTCATGCTTAAAAACGAATAAACACGACGACACGGCAAAATAACATAAAAAGGTACTACATCACTTCAAACAAACTTATACCAAAATAAAAGCAAATTCAACTATTCATGTGTATCATTGCTATCTGATTACATAACATCATGGGTAATTTCTTGTAAACATAAACATTTCATCACCTACAAAACAACAAAAATAATATAAAGTTAATTAAAAGAAATGATACATTAAATTCAAAGTTTCAGCAAGTAAGAATACCTTTAACTCCAAATAACCAACCTTTTGTATAAATTAGAACCTCAACAATATCGTGCTACAATGGTGAAATACCCGTGGACCATGGTGCAACAACTATAGGAGGTGGGTTTGTATGGTTAACCTTTGCCCTCTTCATACGTAAAATACCATAAATAAAAACATGAGATAAAGCCATAAATCAAAAAAGAAAATTGCAATAAATATAAAAGGTTATAACAAGGTAATGTAAAAGAACAAATCAAAATAAGATTGGTAAACTGCACTAGCCTTTAAAAACAATATCATATTTTTAATTAAGAAAATAATACAACCTCTTTTTGTGAGATTCCAATTCATGTTTAGCCACTAGGTAATTACGATTTTGGTTTAATATAAAGAATAACAACTTATGCTTAATCTCTTTACTATTTATAACAATTTATTTTAGTGAAATAATATAAACCAAAACAAGAGATAAAGCAAAAAAAGAAAAAAAGAAAAAAAGAAAAATATGACAGCAAATAAGAAAATCGATTTCAGCATGACTATAGCATTTCAGCAAACCAAAAAATCATTACAACAATCGATTTCATGATATATGTCGACGATCATTTAACCAGAAATCAGAAATCAACATACCTTTCAACGATCTGAAGGGCTGCAATGGTGCCTACGCCGACAAGAAAGGAGGTGCACCAACGAAGGGCTGAGGCCGACGATCGGGAGAAGGAAGAGCGATTGAGTGAGGGAAGAGGATGGAGCGGTGTGTGTGATTTTTTTTTGTCCGTTCCTTTTTTATTAGGGTTGAGAAGAGCTTTGAAGTAGTTGGTCTATTGTTGCACCAAGAAGCACACGAGCAAATGTTTTTACTTAAAAGCCATTCAGAAAAACAAACAGCTGCAAAAGCCCAATTGTTGCGCGTGTTCTGTGTGACGCAGCGATAAGACTATACGGTGTGCCTTGTACCACATACCGCGATATAGTGCAATATTCGTAAACATCGCACCGACCCCCACAAAATGTGCGGTATGCAAATATTGTGTTACAGCTTTACCGTGTGAGAAAAAATAGTCTATCCTTCAAATATAATACTTCATGCATACAAATGTGTGTTGTGGTGGGTATGGTATGATGCACATCAATTTTATAGGACAGGGAAAAATATATTATGGCAAGACAAAAGTATGGTATGTATGGTATGACATCATGTCCAACCTAAATAGTTTGAAGATGTTTATTTTTTAAAAACAAACAGCCTCTAGATCTTTATCACTTTATGTCTTCTTTTTATTTATTGTTTTGATATTCTATGGTTATGTACATCTTATATTTTTATTTTATTCCACTTGAATTAATATTATTGTAAATTATGTGGATTATTGATCGTGTGTTTTTACCAACATAACACATTGATGGTCAATTGTGTGCATAATTTTTTTTTACTTAACACAAGAAAATATTTATATACGTAAGAAAGAGGATCCTTATGCCAAAAAAAGAATGAAAAATATAAAGCCATTTCAAACTTCACCCAGTTTATAAATTAATAAATTGTAGAATACAATCTTATACTTTATTGAACACTCGAAATCACTCAGATTGCCGTTCATCGACCAAATTGCCTAAAAATCAAGAAGTTCGTTATTCGTGCTAGCTTGATCAACGACCAACGGGACGTTACTAACCGTAAATAGATCCTTTAAATTGGAAACCTCACGCACTCCAATGTAAATCATCACCAGTAGACCTAAAATAGCGAACGCGATCAAAGCAATTTTCCATGACGCATTGAATACCTTCTTCAAGGTCTCGTACACTTTAACTCTTGGAACATTACCATAATAGTGATTTATACTCTCGATGGTCATTGTCAACTTGGATTTTATCCCATCAGTTCTCCCACTCGACTTAGTAATATTATTAAAAAAGTTTGCGATTTCCCCATCCTCCATATCGCCTAAGATAATATTCTTTTCACGAAGAATCTTTACATCCTTGTCACTATCGACAATCCCACACATAAAATCCACATACTCAGTGATATCAAGAGTAGGAACGTGACCATATTTGAACATTAACTCTTCATAAGCCACCAAATTTCTTAATATAACATCAGAATCCGATTTCAAATCAAGAACCGGGAGACAAAGTGTGAGCTTTTCAACGTCGAATTCAATGTCACGTATACCTCCATTTGTTGAGGAAAATTCAATCTTTGCGAGTTTTACAAGATGTGAAACCGGAGGTATGGCGATTTCAAGCTTAGTAGGTGTCTGTCCCAACAAAAACTTGATCAAATCATTGAGCTTGTCCCATGGCAAATTCAATGCGTCCTTAAAAGGCTGCAAAAAAGCATCTAAAACAGACAATATGCTAGGGGATTCCTCTTCATCCGAAGGCATATCAATGGAGTAATCTGTTCGAATCAAAGGGGTTGGAGGTGGTTTAGCATGGCATACCTTCAAGTGATACATGCAGTCCAACAAATGATGGCGGTTACCTATATCAAGATCCTTTTGGCTTTTCGGTAGAGAAAACTTAAGAGGCGAACGTGTTTCACAAAACTTAAGAAACAAATTCTCAAGAAACGGATTGTCTGATGTGCCAGATAAGTTTTGGTTAAGAGCACTTAGCAGTTCCATTATCATCACTAGTGGGATTTGATTTTCAAGCTTCGTAACATCTTCCAAAAACTCCGAGGGTTTTCCTTCTGTTATTTTCATTAGAATATCCAGCAAGACGACTATATCTATGGAATAAACCCATGCTAAAGGAGTGTTCCCGATGTCAAAGTTTATGTCGTAGCAGCTTCTAGCTATTGTGACAAGAGGTATGAGACGTTCTTTTACGATGGTTTCGTACTCGGATGTGATATTGTAGGGTTTTAGAACTTCTTGAGCTGTGACTAGTTTAACCTGCTCTCTATTGTAGAGGTCACTTCGGAAATGGTGGATTGGTCCAAGACCTATTTCTTCGGGAAGGTAAGAATTTGGATTGTCGGCTATTCGACTGTCTGGAAGCTTGAAGATGCTGACAGGAAGAATGGTGCCAGCAGAGAGTTGGGATTGCAATGTTCTGGGGATATGATCGACCCATTTTTGCACATCTTCAACGGAAGCTGGAGAAGTACATAGAAGTGGAGGCTCGAACAAGGACATTGGTTACTTTTTTTTTTGTTCTTTTGGTGAACTAGTTTTTAGTTCTCTTGGTTACCTTTTTTTCTTTTGGTGAACTAGTTTTTAGTTCTCTTTGTTATATAGAAATCTTGTTTCCCGAGTTTTCCTCGAATTACATGTGTAAAGAGTCATTTAACGGCCCTTATTATCCCACGTCTTACTATATCATTACATAAATCGTTTTAGTTGATGTAAATATTTTTGTTATCAATAAATGTTTTAAGAGTTTATAATGTCGGAGATTGAAAGTTGTATTTGTCGACACTTACATAAATTTAAGCTAAATTGGTTGTGACCTTCAATTTTCCTCTACTGTATTTGTAATTTCAATGATGTCAATAGTAAATTATTTCTAATTACTTTGTCTTGGATTTGTGCATAAAACAAAGTAACAAACCATTGTAGTAAAGGAAATCCGACTAACCGGAAAGTGCATTTAACATCATCATAGCACATCGCCCTCTACGTACAAATTATTCCCACAATACAAACCATTCCGGTAGAACCGTAGAAGAACAGCTAACACCTTCTCATTCACAACTCCTTGAATTGTAGTTTTACTAGTGCATGTACTTTTTTTTTTTTTTTGTAAAAGCCAGTGATATTTTACAAAAAGGCAAAAAAATAAAAATAAAAATAAAAATAAAATAGAAAACTATAGATTAACCCATTGACATTCTAATGTTTTCGCAATTTAGTCATTTTTTAGAGTTTGTTTCTTGTTAAGGATGGTTAGTTTTGTTGATGGTAGTTAGTGCGTGCTAATAATATTCTCATGAGCAAAGTTATTATTTAGCATACATTCATATTCACTTAATGATAAAACCAAATCAGTCTAAAGAGTTGGTCCATTGATTTTGAAGATCCTGTATGAAAAGAAAAAATAGATTCCGAAAGATTTTTGTATACATAAGCAAAATTATTATTTTTATGATACACTACAAGAAAGGTGGGCATTAGCGGCGACGTCTTTAGTGGCGACATGTACATGTCGCCGCTAATTCCCGACGTCGCCGCTAAAGGCATCGCCGCTAAAATACCCACATAGTAGCGATCCACATCAAATGAACGTTGTCCGGTCGATCTGTATTCAATCTAAGGGCTGTAACGGCGTGAAAAGGGTGCTGACTTGTCCCTCCAGGCTCCACGGGTGTCGCCGCTAATACCCATGCGTTGCCGCTAATGTCCATACGTCGCTGCTAATACCCGTCGCCGCTAAAGGTGTTCGCAGATAACCCCCCCGTCTTCGCTCTTTCCTGTGTCTATCGTCTGCCTCTTCTCTCTAAATCCTCCCAGCCGACTCCGACCACCGAACACCGAACGCCGCGAACCACGCCGGTTGCGGCCACAACATAACACTATTAGTGGCGACTTATAGAGCATTTGCGATGAAGCATTAGCGGTGTCCTTTTTGCAGCACCAAGTCGCCGCTAATACCTCTAGCGGTGATAAGCCCTATCTTTCGCGGCGACGTCCGTCGTCGCTAATACCTTCGTTTCTTGTAGTGATAATTGTTACTGCAATAATTAAAACAAAATAACGAGAGTGCAATAGATAATATTACATAGTTATATAAAACGCAATACTCATACTACAAAGCAAAGTTGTTCATCAATATGATTTGACTTTTTTTTATACTTTATTTTCAGTTTATTTTTTCGTAAAGAAAAATAATTTGAAGTATTCGCAGAATATTATAGTGGAAGTATGTTATATTGTTTTAACGGTCATTATGCTAATCGATTATTTGAGTTAAATCAATTTAAGTTTCGTCAAAGATTTGAGTTAAATCAATTTAAGTTTCGTCAAGGTCAGAATCAATCCAAATCGATTTGAAGCCAAATTTGCCAAATATTAAAAACCTTTTCCCTTTTGTAGTTTCAATTGAAAGCAGAAAATTAGAAGAGCGAGGTTTTGAAGACAAAATTGAAAGAGTTTCTCTCCCCTTTTAAGCGACACGTCTAGGGTTTCAACCTTTCGTCGCCAAATTATTATAGCTTATTGTAATCTCTTTGATCAAGCTATGTAAACATTGCAATATTTAGTGGATTGATTCTCAGTTTCCTCCGCCCGTGGTTTTTTTTTCTTGATTTAGGTTTTCCACATAAATTTTATGTCTCTCTAATTTACTGCTTTGCTAAGTATTTTTCATTGCATTTGATTGATTGTTAGTTTGATATATTAGTCCTATTCTGCTTGAACTAATATTGTTCTTGTGATTCAGATTTCTGTATTGATCGATGCATTAGGGCTTTTTCGTTGTAGTGCATCTTATCGTCATTGTTTACTATAATTAGTATCAAAGCTTACGGATTTAAATTAGTTTGTTGGGATTATTTTATCAACTGATTGATCATGTCCTCGACGAAATACGATATTCTGTTGTTGGATCAAAACAGTAGGTTTCCATTATGGCAAGTAAAGGTGAAAGATGTTCTTATTCAGAGGATTTACACAAGACACTTTTGGGTTTCGATAAGATGGCTGCTTCATAGACGAAAGAAGATAAAGAGACAAAAGATTTAAAAGCTCAATCCCATATTCGTTTGCATTTTTTAAATGATGTTTTGCTAGATGTTTTGAAAGAAACTTTAGTAGCTGCTTTATAGTTAAAGTTGGAGTAGTTATTGATGACTAAGAGCCTACCAAAGAAGTTGCACCTAAAACAATGGTTGTTCAATCTCAAGATGATTGAAAGAGGTTCTTTGGCTAGACATATTTCCACATTTAAAGAGTTGGTCAATAACTTGGAGAATATGGATGTTTAATATGAAGATGAAGACTCGGCCTTGCTGTTGTTGTCATCGTTGTATGAATCCTACAACCATTTTCATGATACTATCATCTACAGCCGTTCCACTCTTGTTTTAGATGATTTTCTTACTGATGGGTTTTGAGCATATCTACATGCGTATGTGATCATGCAACCCTAATTGCTTTGGATCTAAGTTTTTCTCTATTGAACATACAAATATGAACACCAAAGCAATAACCCTATAGACTAGCATACAATTTCAAAATCATGTATAAAACTAGGGTTAGAAGATTACCTCACTTGTTATGTAGCAATAACAAGAACCACATTGACTATTAAAAGCTTAGTGCCCGAAGTGTTGCACCTCTAATGGAGTCACGAACACCCAATGCAGCAAAGATGAATAGGAGAGATGAGGAAATCGGCCAGGGTTCTCTTAGAAAGGCATATGGCCGAAATTCCTTAGGTTAAAGGGGTTTATATAGCTGAGGACCGCTAGGGTTTTCAGGTGGAAACCCTAATTTCCTTGCTTAGGCCTTAAGCAGTCCATGGACCTCCACAATAGAAGCCTTGGACGAATTCTATAGGGCCTCCTATAAATTTTGTCCAGTCCTCCCATAGGAGTCCATCAGCCCAACTTTGCAACTATGAATGATTTGCAAAACAGCCCCTCCATTATTAATTAGTTCCTTTAATCCCAAAATTAATATCAAATTAATTTCCGATTAATTACTAATTAATAATATGATTTCCAAATAATATATTAATCTTGTAATATATTAATAAAATCATTCTGAGTACCAATTTATTATTCATATAATAAATCCTACTCTCTCTCTCTCTCTCTCTCCACTAGTCATCCTGTCAAGTTGCATGACTGAAGGCAACCCAAAAGGACCATGCTACAAATCAAATCAAGTACATACCAAATATATTTATGGGCTTAGACACCTAATCCAACACTTACAACTTTGGATTCAAAGAGAAGATGAAGAATATAACTGGTGGTGGTTCAAGTGATGTTAAAGCCAAAGGTTTAAATGCTAGAGGAAGAACAACAGATAGAGGTAAAACCTCTCAATCTTCCAACGGGGACTGATCCAAGTCTAAAGGAAAAAGAAAGTTTTGCAATTATTGTCACAAGAAGGGTCATTTGATTCATTCATGACCCGTCACAAATTCAAGAGGTGTGCCCGTGATAACTGCGTTTATTACAAAAATTGTTATGATGGTTCGATGATCTACTTACTCTTATATATGGATGACATGTTGGTCACATCAAAAGATATGACGGATATTCATAAAATAAAAGACCAGTTCAAATGTGACTTTGAAATAAAGGAATTAGGAGCTACCAAAACGATTCTAGGTATGGAAATATTTATGACAAGGAAGTCTAGGGTCTTGCATATTTCTTAGAAAAAATGCATTGAGAAAGTCCTAAGACACTTCAATATGCATGAAGTAAAACCCGTCAACATAACTTTTGCAGCTCATTTCAAGTTATCACCCCGCTTGTTTTGTCATTAAAAGCTTGCTTTCTGACAACTCAACTTTTAGAGGAATAAGATAACATCTTCTTGGTGGGTTTGTATAAAATAATATATGCAAGCTTTTAGAATATTCTACGAATATGTGTTTAGTAGATTATGGATCTAGAAGCTTTAGTCTAACATAGGCTTCACAATCTAAAAACATTATGTAAGATTTCCATACTAAATCTTATAAAGTGTTTTATCTACTTCTTAGTTGGTGTTAGTATTCAAGATACAAGTGATAGTGATTAAGGTATAATCCCAAAAGGATAAAAGAGATAATTTCAAACAATTAGGAAGTAACCATATCTAGTAAGGTTTAGATCATCTTATCTCTAAGGCTTTAGATGGTTCTACTAGTTTGTATCTCGACTTTATATTTGAAAACTTCAACAAAGGTTTCACAATTATCTTTCAACATGTAAAATATAATTACTACAACTATAGTAGTTAATAAATTTGATTAGATATCTTGAACTAAATCAACACATTCATTAGAAAGGAAGTCACACACCACAATGTATAGTTCCTTAATAATTATTTTTTCTCTATAGTTTAGTGAAAATGTAATTTGTAGTATTTTATACATAAATAAGATTCACATATGTCAAATAAACTACATTATTTGCCTTCCAAAATCCATTTCTTAAAGTTGGAATATGTGTATATCATTTATATAATACAGATAATAA